AACATGCTACTACATTTGGTGAACCCATTTACAGTCGTGGAAAAGCCACGGTGAAGTCTGTCTGTGGAATAGAAGTTCCATGATTTATAATAAGATCAGATCTGCAATCTATGAACTTTGATGTAAATTCTTTAGGACCAATAATATTAGAAAAGTAAGATGTTCCAACTTGTCAAAAGTTTTTATTTATTATTATTTTTTTTTAAAGACAGCTTTTTGAGGCTTAAATAACACACAATAAGCTGTTCATCTTTAAAGCGTACAATTTGCTAAGTTTTGATGAATGTATAGAAATGAAAACCATCACCACAATGAAAAGAACAAATGAATTTCTCTCAAAAGTTTTCTTATTGCAGATGCAGTTGCTGATAAAAAACAAAAGTTTTCTTATTTCATTTCATAACCTCTTCTTTCACTCCTTTGTCCCAGCAAATACTCTAGATTAGTTTATATTTTCTAGAGCTTCACAAATGGAATAATACAGTATAGACTCCTTTTAGTCTGGCTTTCATTCAGAGTCCAGTAGGATTCTCAAAACAGCCACTGGAACTAATCAGTGAGTTTAGCAAGGTTGCAGGATATAAGGTCAATATGCAAAAATATATAAAATGTCTAGGTACTAGAAACTGACACATAGAAACAAAAAAATACTATTCATAATAGTAGCGAATAATGTAAACCATTTAGGAATACATCCAACAAAAATATGTAAGACATTCACTGCACACTTTAAAATATTGCTAAGAGAAATTAAAGAACCTCTAGATAAATGGAGAGATATACCATGTTCATGGATCAGAATATTTAAGAGTCTTAAGATGTCAGTTCTCCCTAAATTGATCTGAAGGTTTAACATGATACCAATTAAAATTCTACCAGGATTTTTTTTTGGTATAAATTGACAAGGTGATTATCAAAATTATGTGGAATTGCCAAGGACCTAAAATAGCCAAAACAATTTGAGAATGAGAAAAAAATCTGAAGAACTTACACTTCCTATTTTATGATTGATTATAAAATTACAGAGATCAAAACAATGTAGTTTTGGTGTAGACAGAGAGACAGACAAAGGAAGAGAATAGAGAGCACATAAATAGAATCACACATATATGGATAATTCATTTTTTGTGTGTGTGCAAAGAAAGCTTTTTATTTGAGAACATCTGATACCTTTGGACATGTTCTTGTTGGATCACAACCAACCTGATTGACAATCTATCTCCAACAGCCACAAACACAGCAAACAATCCAGTCCTACAGACCATACAGGGTACATCTGCAGAGGGTTCTACTTGCATCACCCACACCTCCACTCCTATGAAGCAACTGTCTTGGGCATGAGAAGGGCCAGGATAGGCCAGGTGAATGGCAGGCCACCCAACAACCCCAATCCCAAACCAACCTCCCAGGCCATGGGCCAAAGTCCCTGCAGGAAGATGTGAACAGGTAGAACATGTAGAACAGGTACACACAAACAACTAGTTTATTTTTTCTGACTGTAACCAAAGTCAACAGAAGAAACAACAGAACTTCAGTGCTCTAGAGATCCTCCTGGATTCAATGACAATACATCGATGGCCGGGCACAGGGCTGGATTCCTTTTTTTTTTTTTTTTTTTTTGAGATGGAGTTTTGCTCTTGTTACCCAGGCTGGAGTGCAATGGCATGATCTCGGCTCACCGCAACCTCCACCTCCAGGGTTCAGGCAATTCTCCTGCCTCAGCTTCCTGAGTAGCTGGAATTACAGGCACACGCCACCATGCCCAGCTAATTTTTTTTGTGTGTTTTTAGTAGAGACAGCATTTCACCATGTTGACCAGGATGGTCTCGATCTCTTGACCTAGTGATCCACCTGCCTCATGGATTCCTTTTATGAAACCCATCTCATAATCTCTCATCATCCCATGTCAGGACAGTGCCTTTTGGGGCTGCATGAATCTTTAATAGCTACCCACATTTTCTCATTCTTTAAGTTAGAACAGACTGGTTATCTCTCTCCAAGAGCATCAGGTTAGATGCTGTTTTGCTGTTACAAACTGTCAGGTGGATGGAGGACCACAACATTGTTCATTTAACTGTGAAGTCCGAGATGCTGTCTGAAGGCATCTCCGGAAAGACTGGAGGGTGATTGTGCTGAAGGGCTGCTCACTGCTTCTTTCACTGCATGCCACTTTTCTCACTCTGGTTGGGAGATTTGAAGGACCACGTAACCACAGAGAAGACCGAGCTCCCTGTGAAATCAGTCACTGCCTTTCCGTCTTCACAAAGACCTGTTCTCCAATAATGCATGCAGTTCTCTGTGGGAAGCTATATTCACATCAGCACTGGAGTCTCAGAAAAAAACACATGTTTACACTCTGTACTCTCCAATGGGTAATATTCATCATGGAAATCTAATACATATTCTTCAGTCTCGAATCCAAACTTCTGATACAGTAACATAGCAGGGTTGCTTGCTGAGACGTGAAGAGTTACGTCCTTGCCCTTGCAGGTCTGAATCAGATGATAGATCATGAAAGTTGCAATCCCTGCTCTTCTCCATTCAGGGTGGACAAACAGAAATGACAAGTAAGTTTCATTGTATTTCATATCGGGAACCATGAAGCCAAAGGCAATGATTACTTTTTTTTCAGACGGAGTTTCACTCTTGTTACCCAGGCTGGAGTGCGATGGCGTAATCTCGGCTCACCACAACCTCTGCCTCCTGGGTTCAGGCAATTCTCCTGCCTCAGCCTTCTGAGTAGCCGGGATTACAGGCACGCGCCACCATGCCCAGCTAATTTTTTGTATTTTTAGTAGAGACGGGGTTTCACCATGTTGACCTGGATGGTCTCGATCTCTTGACCTCGCGATCCACCCGCCTCGGCCTCCCAAAGTGCAATGATGACTTTTTTATAGAGAACAACCACACTGAAGTCTGGGTACCACAGACATTCAGACAGGTCAATGCCAGGCCAAAAAAACTCCTGACACATGGAGTTGATCGTTGGGATAGATATGATATGGCTGCATATAACAGTAATCAAGAGGTGCATCGGGCTCCGGCATCCAGCGAGGGTTGCTCCTGTGCAGGTGGGAACGAATCTGTGATAGGAGCTGCAGTTTGGGTGGCTTTGTTTCACAATCACGCCTGATATAAGGTTTCAAGATCCGAGAGGTATAAGGGCTGACAATAGTCTGGTCCACAGCCATATCTTCTGATCCTACCAAGCGATACAAAACTTGGTAGTCTGGTGTTGAAATCCCTTCCAAGGACGTCTGGTATCGGTCAAGGATTCTGAAGTCCTGACAGGTAGTTCGGTACATGGCTTGTCCAGCTGAAAGTCTGGAAACTCCTCCGTCTTTGGCTCCATAAATCCCATCAACTAAAAGAAGAGCAGCATTAACAAATTGATCCAAGTCAAAAAGTGGTAATCCCCTATCCCTTTTCGCTTGTCTGACAATCAGGTTGCGCTTCAGTCTCCGAGCTTCCGGAGTCATGGCAACCGCACCGGGACAAGCTTCCAGCCTCTTGGGCAACAGCTTTTCCTCACTGATGCTCATGGGAGTATATTTGGGCTCTTTCGCCTTTGTGTCCTTCTCCAGCTGAGGCTTCCTCTTTTCTCAAGCCCTTGTTTGCAAAGATGGGTTGGAATCTGTGTCTTCACTGTCAATATCCATCCTGTCGGGTTTTTCTTCCTCACTCTCTACCTCCTGCTTTATCTGTTCAGGGCCTCTGACCTTCTTTCTGCCCCCAACCACTGGCCCAGAAGCCACTGACCCAGAAGGGGGTGGAATGTTCTCCATCCCTGGGTCTATGACTCCATCACTTTCCATCTAAGCATCATCGTGAAACAAGGCTTGCGGGGGCATCACATCTGGAATCAGATCTGCTTCTGAAAGCAAGCTAGGCATGGCAGAATGAGAGGCAGGTGTCCCAGGGGCAGAGCAATCCAGAGAAGGAGATGGGCTTGTCTGCGGGGTGCAGTCAGAGGAGCTGAAGGAGGAAAAGTCAATCAGTTCTCCCTTTTCAAGAATCACATCCGGCCTATGGCCTTGTTTTATGAACATTACAGGGGTAGAAGACGTGCTCCTGTCAGGAAAGCAGCCGCCTCCTTTTGGGCTCTTCTAACGTCTTTTGCTTCCTGAGTTCGAGACCTTTTCTCTTGTAATTCCGTGGCAGATTCTACAGGATTCCGACTTGCCCCTTTTCTAAGTCCCTCGACAGTCATGAAGGGATCTAAAGTTGGTTTCGAGGCTACTTGTATTTTCAAAATCAAGGCAGACAGCTTCTCTCCTTCAGGTCTCATTGTTGGGGCTTGTTATGAACAAGTTTGCACCATCCCGACTCTCCAAATCCTGAGCACCTGAATGGAAATACGTGGGACTTCCCACGCTGAGGCACCCTGACACAGTGCTTCACCAGGTGGACGTCTTTTTCCTATTCCCTAGTAAAAAAGTCCAATGCTTCTCAATAAAAGCGCAGATGTCTTCTTTCCACCTGAAATAACCTTGACGTCCACTTCCTTCTAGAGACAAGTTGTCCATCGCCAACATGACGACCTGCTGCCATGTCAGCTTCAGCCTTTCATGCTGCTCCTTGCCATCTGCTGAGCAATCTGAACAAGTAAGCCTAAAAAATTATCACCCTTAAGGTAACTGAGCTGTTCCCTCAGCTGAGTGGCTGGTATCCGTTTTTGGCACTTGTCACAGAAGTAGGGCAGCTGCTCCTCCATCCACGACACGCCTCCTTCATCACTGTTGAGGGAATCCCCACTCTGGTCGTGTGATAATCCACTGAGCCTGATCCTCAGATTCCACAATCAGGAGCGACTCTCCCTCCACTTCACCTTCCTCCAGTCCTTCTGAGGTCGGTGTTCTCGTGGCTTCGTCACCGTGCCGACTAATCAGACTACTCAGGTGGATGCTACTCTCCATCCCTTCCTTCTCACAAGTTCAGGAGTGCTTCTCGGTAACAACCCTAAGCTCTGGACAGTGATCTTAGCAGAGCTTCTACCAGGCTCATACAGACAAAGCTCTTCCAAAGAGCGTCTGCCCACACTCCTTTATTCAGATAGAAGGGACACTGAAAGCAGTAATTTACAATATATGATCCACTGTCCTTTATCTGATCAACTTTAAAAGGACAGTGACCAAAAAAAGATGAAGACGCCACTAAGCTACTCTCCGTCAACACACACACACACACACACACACACACACACACACACACTCATGTTGTCTGTCCCATCGATAGTTCACATTCAAGTCGTTTTTTGAGATTCTTTTGCCAACAACATCTCTCTTTCTGCTTCAAGTTGCTTAGTCAATTTAATCTGCTCTCCCAAAAGACGAATGTTTTCCTTTTTCCGATTTTGCCTCTGAATGTCTCTGATAACTCCGTCATGAAGCCTCTGCTGGTCCCACCGCTGCTTCACAGGTACGCCGGCCACTGTGGCCGCCGTTAGCAGCCCCGACAGGTCCAGCATCACCTTCGAGGTCCTCGACATGCCCACACTGGCTGCCGTGCCCTCTTTCTCCCGCCCGCCTGAGGCACGGGGGCAGCCGCAGATTCCGCGCCGCCACCGGTTCGGCCTAGGCTCGATCCCCGATAATTCATTTCTGATAAAAGTGCAAAGGCAATGCAGTAGAGAAAGGATAGTTTTTTCAACAAATTTCTCCAGAAAAATTAGACATCCATTTACAAAAGGGAAGTCTAATTCATACCTCACACCACAAGCAAAGCTGAACTCAAAATAGATCACACTTCTAAATGTAAAACCTAAAACTATAAAACTGCACGAAGTAAACATAAGAAAATCTTTATGACCTTAAATTAGGTAAGATTTCTGAGGCATATTATCAAAACAGAATTATAAAAGAAAAAAATTGACAAATTAAGCGTCATACAAATTAAGAACATCGGTTTTTCAAAAGATGTTTTTTGGAGAATGAAAAGTTAGGGCACAGACTAGGAGAAAACCATGCATCGAATAAAGAACATATATTTAGAATATAGAAGAAACACTTAAAGAAGACACGCAGATGGCAAATGAGCAGTTTCCTAAGTGGTTGAACATATGCCCGCCACAGAGTGGCCGTTCCACTATCAGTATCCACTCAAAAGGGGTATATCCAAACAGACTGGTACATGGATGCTCAGTCTTTTTTTTTTTTGTCGTTGTTGTTGTTGTTTTGAAATGGAGTTTCATTCTTGTCACCCGGCTGGAGTGCAATGGCATGATCTCTGCTCACTGCAACCTCTGCCTCCTGGATTCAAGCCATTTTCCTGCCTCAGCCTCCTGAGTAGCTGAGATTGCAAGCACTCACCACCATATCCAGCTAATTTTTATATTTTTAGTAGAGACAGGGTTGCACCATGTTGGCTAGGCTGGTCCTGAACTCCTGACCTCAGGTGATCTACCCGCTTCAGCCTCCCAAAGTGCTGGATTACAGGCATGAGCCATTGCACGCAGCCAAATGCTCAGCCTCTGTAATAGCCCAAAGTGAAACAATCTAAGTGCCCCTCAACAGGCAATGGGGTAAACAAACTGTGACATACTGCACTGATGTAGTTTGGAATTTGTCCCCTCCAAAGCTTGCATTGAAATATAATCCTCAGTACTGGAGGTGGGTCCTCCTGGGAAGTGTATGGGTCATGGTTGTGGGTCACTTACGAGTGGCTTGGTGACCTTCCCATGGCCATGAGTGATTCTCACTCTCTTAGTTCAGGGGAGAGCTGGTTGGTAAAGGGACCCTGCCACCTCCTCCCCCGTCTCTCATGCTCCCTCTTTGCCATGATTGGAAACTTCCTGAGCCCTTCTCAATTGCTGGGCAGATGCCGGTGCTAAGCTTGTGCAGCCCGCAGAACTGTGAACCAATTACACCTGCTTCATTTATAAATTACCCAGCCCCAGGTATTCCTTTATAGCAACACAAAACAGACTAATACACGTGCAATGGAATACTACTCAGGCATGTAAAGGAATAAATATTGATACTTAACAACAACGTGGATGAATTTCAAAGTAATCCTGCTGAGTGAAAGCAGCCAGGCAGTAGGATGCATCCTTTATGCTTTCATTTATACAAAATCCTGGAAAATGTAAACTAAACTACAGGGACAGAAAATAGGGCAGGGGTGTGGGGAGGGGAGGGAAGGATGAGAAAGGAGGCCAAGGAAGCTCTGGGCTGACGGACGTGCTCACTCTCTTGATTGTGGTGATGGTTTCGTAGGCATATGTTTATGTCAAAACTCAAGTCACACAATTTAAATAAATGCCATTTACTGTATGCCAATCATATTTCAACAAATACACATTCTTTTATTTCCCCCCAGAACTCTAGAGAAATGCCTTAGGCAGAGCCTTCGTGAAACAATGTATTTAATGCGGCCAGTGCAGGGCCCGATGCATCAGGTGTGTTCAATAAACGGTTCTTTTCTTTCACTTTCCTTCCCACCCCATCAGAACGTTCAGACTCCTGCACATCTAGTACAGAAACCTGCAGTTTTTCCTGTATGGACTCTGGTGAGTCAGAAAGGCACGAAGGTTTTGGTCCTCAAAGGTCATGTGATGCCATTTGTTTGGGGCCGAAACTTCCCAATGCTTTCATGGTGTTGGGAACAAGATATGATTATCAGAAGCACATGTAGTTCAATGTTGAAATTTCGTTTTTTTGAACTGCATCTGGGTTTTAAAAACGTAGTTACCTTATTGGGGCTTCTGCATGGAGGCCATCTCGATCCAGGAGGCCTTTACTGAGGGTCCTCCAAGGTGTTTCTGACGCATAGAAAAGGCAGTTAAATGAGTTGCGGAAGTGGCCACCGGCTGACCACCTCCCCGCTCGGCTGTTGGCAGCTCTGTTCTTGGCCGCCTCCCTCCTGGTGGCTCTGGATGAGCCGCTGCTGTGTACACGCCTCTATGTTGGCGTCCGTCCCTTGATTGCTGTCACTGCATGTGTCTCCGGCAGTGTCGTGCCTAAGTGTGTCACAATATTTCCACTTCCATCCATTTCTGTGGAGGCTTCCTTCATTTTCGGTGCCGAGAGGCGCCACATGCTGAAGTGAGCTGTACGAGGGAGGCTCTGGAATGCCAAGCACCAGCCTTTGAACCTACATGCAAGAAACGGTGAAATAATTTGATTTCCTCTCAAGAGGGGCATACAGGATGCAAAATGGAGGCTTTCGCGTAGGGAGCCTTTGGTGAGACTTGTGCATGGAAGCCTTCTTTCAATGGTGACCACAGTGTGGGCAAAGCCCCCCATGCAGAACCTCCAGAGAGTATGGGAGATGCCACCAGGGAGCTCCTGCCCAATGGTGAGGGGGACCCACAGGAGGGAGCCAGGATCCCCGAGAGCCAGCTTCATCCTGGGCACTGGCATTCCTTTATTCCTACCAGCCTGGCACTGGGGTACAGCAAATGACCGCATGTGGCTTTCAAATGCATCATGGATCCCACCAAATAGTAAACAAGCAGATACTGTCCCTTGAGCTCTCTAAGGAAAAGTCAACAGTTTAAGCTTCAGTTCATGTCCCACTTGTCTACGTCCAGTGATCCTGGTTTCGTGGGGGTGGACAAGATTCTTGCCTCTGTCTCTGTGTAACTGCTGACTGTACCTTGAAGGGTACCCTTTATCAGAGATAGGTGCTATCAATCAAAGTGGGTATCAGGACAATTCTCCACTGAGGCGTGCCGTTCAGCCTTCAGCTGTACAAGCTCCCAGGAAGCGCTTAACTTCAGGGAAAGCTAAGAGATGGGCAGCGCACTGCATAGACTTTTGTGAGACTTCCTCTGACTCCTTCCTTTGAAGCATCTGCACAACTCGCAGAGATCCTGAGTTAGTATCTTTGGGGTGAGTTATGTGTGTCAAAGATGGCAATTTAACTCTGAGTGAACCCTCCTAATACTCACAGAAACTGATTTCATCACACTCGTCTCCTGGGATAATGGCTTCTGGATAGGGCCTTCACTCGCCACGCTTTCTGGGTTGTCTGGCGCCGTGAAGCCTCCTTGCAGCACGTGTGAGGAGGCAGGTGCTGTGCTGTTCTGCAGCGTGTGGGCAGGTGGGGTGAGGTGCTCTTTTTCTGCAGGAAATTCCCTGGCTGCCGCGGCGACTGCCATTCCTCACCTCAACACTCACTGCGGCAGCTTCTGGATGTTCCTCCACTATGTGTTTTTGGCAGGTCTCAAGACAAGATTTCTGGGGCATTGGTGACCTTCAGGGGTTCTTAGGTGCTCATGGCTCAGAAGGTGGGGGAGCGTCACTGGGGTGGCTGTCTCCTGATGGAGGCTGGGTGCTTGGGGTTGGAGGCCTGGGCTCACAGCACAGGCAGCCCCAGCTCCACTGCTCCCCAAGTTCCACTGCTCCCCAAGCACTGCTGCTCCCCAAGCTCTGCTGCTCCCCAAGCTCCGCTACTCTCCAGCTGTGTGGCCTGGGGTGCAGTCACCATGTCTTTCTCTATTCTCTATTTCTGAGGCTTTGACTTTGCTGAGCCTGGAGGGACGGCCCCTCCCAGGGTCGGTTGATTCCTCGATAGTGATGACCTCATCTATGAGCATGCCTGTCACATGCAAACCCACCATCTGGAGCCCATGCCCTGCCACCTCCTCCTCTGGGCCCTCACATGGCTCATACTTCACTGGCCACTGTCCCCCTGCTGTGGTCACCCCAGGGGAGGCACCTGATACTCAGGGACAGCCCCAATTCCCCAGACCCCACTGAAATCACTCAGTGACCAGGACTGAAAGCAGTGAGTCCTGAGCCTGCATCACCCTGCCCACCCTGCCCACCAGGAAGGCTTCTGTCCAGTTTCCAGGCCTGGTTCAGCACCTGCCTTTGGCTAGGCTGCTCTGAGGGGCCAGTGGTGCTGTCCTCTGGGATGCTGCCACCTGGGATGCTGTCAGGGCTGCAGGTTGCCGGCATCTGCTTCTACGCGTTCCTGTTTAGTGCTGGGCTGGAGGTCTGAAAGACACAGTCAGAGGGGATTTTCTGGCTCCTGCATTTGACTGTGGTGCCTGGGATCCAGGATCCTGAATGGCTTTTAATGTGGAGGTTCTTTTTTGGTGCCTGTCTTCCTAGCACGCAGCATCCAGGACCTGTGAAATCCCAGAACATCAGGGTTGGGGTCGTTAGGTGCCCACTAGTCCCCCTCACTAGTTCTTCACTCCCTGTGGGCACAGCTAGGGCTGTCTCCAGGTTCCTTGGAGTCCATGGTGTGTAGGGAGCCCCGGCTTTCACAGGTACACAAGAATGGGCAGCCGGCTCCCCGGAGTCATGTGTCCACATTGCTGGGGGCAGGTCTGCACAGCGAACACCCTCCCTGCATTGACTGGGCCACAGGGGGAGGTCAGACGGAAAGTCCACACAGGACGTGGGTGCGCCTCCGGGGAGGGGTAAGGCACCTGCCAGCCCCGTCGGTTCACGGGCGATGCTGCGCTGGGCCAGCCTTCTTGTCCCACTGTTGGCAGCTCTGTCCTTCACTGCCGCCTTTGTGGGAGTGTGGGTGTGT